TATATATATATATATATATATATATATATATATATATATATGTATATATCATTTTGCAATGAAAAATAGGATTAAACAAAACTTATATAGGTCAATTGAAAATTGGATTAGAAGAAATAAAATACAATAGATTTCAAAATAAAATAATTATTTATGGTCAAACAATATTAACCTTTTTATTTAGGCACATATATTTGAAGCAAGATCTAAAATCAATGTGATGTTTTCTTTATATATTCGATATATAACTTATATAATTTTTTTTATGTATATGATAAAAGGGAAATGTATCTATAAATTTTAAAAAGTTCATGATTATTGTAATTTGAATACTTTCAAGATAGAAGGTGATTAGCACTTAAATTATTAAATTTTTTTATATTTTATATTAATTTTTAATGCTCAATATTTATTAATCTTAAGAAGATAAGTTTTAGCACTACATTAGTATATTTTTTTATTTTTCTCAAGTTGAATTAATTTTTTTAGTAAGTAGTCATTATTTTATGTAGATTAAAGTTTGAAGAAATCATTTAATAAAATAATAATCTGCCTAGAATTTTCAGAAAATAATAAACAAATGAATTCATATAAGTAATATAATAATAATAATAATAATAATAATAATAATAATACCACTTTAAGAAAAATAATAAATTAATAACTAATAAAAATAAGTAATCTACGGGTTAATTGATTGATTTGGGCCGATTTCGGATCGACCCGATCCATACAATAGACACCCTTAGTTTCAACAATATAAATGAGCATCAACTATAAAATAATTAACAAGGCAAAGAAATAAAATTAGTGATTCGTGAGAGTTTTTGTGTTCTTCTTTCAGGTACATTTAATTATCATCTTCTTTATGAAATGTGACATGTGTATTTCTACCTGCGTTTATTTGAAATCATTTTTTAGTCTTCTGCAAAAAGAATTAGATTTTATGTCATTTTATAAGAAAAATACATTTTTTTTTGCACATAAGAGATACGAAAATGTTAGTTTTACTTTATTCAAATCGTAAAAAAACAAGGGATCTCATTTTCTTGCTTCCATATATGCTTCTATCAACAAATTTAAAACTTATATATGTTTTAGATCTCTTTGTGTTTAAGCATATTATATTTTGAACTATTTAGTAGATTGTTAATGTGTGATTCCTTTTTTGTTAGTCCACATATATGATAAGCTTATAAATGTTGATTCCTTTTTTTGTTAGTCCACATATATGATAAAGAATGTCAAACTGAAAATAAATTCAAGTACAAAGAACAAATGTTTGTATTTTAATTTCTTACCATTTCTATATAGTGATGATTTTTAAAGTTTGAACTATATAAATGACAATTAAAATGTAAAAGATTTAAAGGCAAAACAAAAGATTTAGAGAATTACTAATTTGTCTTGGAGCTTTTGAGTTTTTTTTTCAAGGTATGTTCTATCCTTAGCTTCTTTATCTTTTCTTGATCATCAGTTATATTTTTGAAGTAATTTATGTACGACATCTGAATTTCTGCGACGTATATTCTAGTTCTTTACACATATGTATTCATATTTTACATGTAAGAAATAAAAAATAACATTTTTCAATCTAAATTATAAAAATACAAAAAAAATTCATTTCTTCGTTTCTCTGTGTACTTTTACAAAAACATTTTAAACTTCTATATGTGCATATTCTATTGCTTTAGGTTGATTTTTTTCCCTTAATATTTTATCTTTTGAACTAAGTGAAATTCATTGTTGGAATTTATGACATTCTTATTGTGTGAGAAATTTTTTATTTGAAACTCTACTGAAATAACTTACAAAAGAAAAAAACTAAGATTTTAAGTAAGTTTTGAGATAAATGATTTTTTAATATATTTTTTTTATAAGAATATAGAATTTAAGTGAGTGGATGTGAATATCTAAAGAAATGAAATCTCTCACCCTATTATAATTTGAATTGAAGAAAAATAATCATCTAAAATCTAAAAGAGAACATCTCTTGTAAAGCCATAAAATTAAAAAAAGTTTGTAAATTCTTGAATCTTCACTTATGACAAGAAATACAAGATTTGGTCACATGATTTTTTAGTCTCTGTTTCAATCTATTTGTCTTATTGTTCTTTTTAATCTGTTTAAAAACGGATGTCTTTTCCCATTTTGACAACTGTTCAATTCTAGCTTTTCATGTGATGTCTTTAACATCTTACAAAATTGAATGAATTTTTTTTTATATTCTACATATCTTAGGTTTAAGACTACAAAACTTTAAAAATCTTCTTTATTTTCTTAAATTTAGTGCCAAATCAAAATAAAAACAAATAAATAAAAGATTTTCCTATTATAAATAGAGTGTATACATGTGTAGTCTAATGGACATTTTGAACTTTTTTTTTGTTTTGTTTTCTTTTAATGAAGCTATGACCACCAAGGATGAGCTAAAGAAGAATGAGGCACTCGAAAAATCCTCAAAAGTTGTCAGAGTAAAAAAGTTCACCAAACAATTAGGTAAAAGTTCTATTATCATGCCGCATGTTATACGTATTTATATGCAAGATAATGACGCCACAGACTCATCTAGTGATGATGAGGAAAATGTTCAAGGAGGAAAGTCCAAGCGCAATAAAATAATATGTAACGAAATCATCATTGAAAAGAAAAACACCAAGGTCGTTTCAAAGAGGATGTCGTCCAAAAAGAAGAGAGATAAGAAACTACTTCTAGAAAATGTGGAGAAGTACAGGGGAGTTAGACGGCGAGAATCTGGAAGGTGGGCAGCAGAGATTCGATATGGAAGAAAGGAAGCTCGACGACGTTGGTTGGGAACTTTTGATACTTCTAGAGAAGCTGCTTTGGCTTATGACAAGGCAGCTATCGAAATAAAAGGTGCTAATGCTTTAACAAATATTCTCGATCCACCACCAAAGGAATCAACCCCATCAACACCGTGCCACCAATAAGGAAGACACAAAAGGCAAATTCATACTTAAGTTAAACTTGATCGATTCAACTTTTTTTATAGGCAGATTTACTGCACTTTTCTATTTACGAGTTCAAGTTTAATCAATTAGTTGTTTATATTTTTTTTTAAAAAAATTCAATGTGGTGCTTCTACGAGCACATTTTAAGACTTTTATATGTGTATATTCTATTGCTTTAGGTCTTCTCGTCTTTGAGCATTTTATATTTTGAGCTATATTTTTTCTATTTAAAATTTGAAACTTCGGAGAATTGACATAACAAAAGCGAAGCTTGGATTTTAAGTTGGATCTTTTTTTTTTAATAAATAAATGATTTAGTTGTATGTGTAGATCAATTTTACATATGTGAAATAAATTAAGATAGTAATGTTTTCTCTTTTGAAATCAAACAATAAATGTGACTGGGTTTCAAATATCATGTGAACAAAAGTGTTAGAAAAGATGAATCGCTGTAAAAAAAAAACTTACTTTTTAACTGACAAACTTTTAAATTGACAATTTTTTGGAAGACTGAATAAAACAAATATGAAAATCACAAATAGAATGTGAACTACTAAATAAATAAATACAAAATCACATGATACATATTGGATTACATTAGGATGGTTCACTACTAAATATACTTTTTAGGAAAATTATGTAATTATACGATTTAAGATAATATAATTTTAAAAAATTTCTACTATTTGAATTTCGGATATATCACTCAATTTCTATCAGATACATTATGACTTTGTTTGTGAGCAATTTATCTAATATAATGTTCTTGTTGATACATAACTCCAATTATCTCAACCCAAAATCCAGTACGATATATTTGTTATGTATATGGCAAAGGGGCAACGTATCTGTAAATTTTAAAAATTTCAAGATTATTGTAATTTTAAAACTTTCAAATAGAATGAAACTAGCACCCAAGTTATTAAAATATTTGTACTTAATACTAATTTTTAATGCTCAATATTTAATAATCATAAAAAGATAAGTCTTAGCACTACATTAGTATATTTTTATATCTTATCAAGTTGAATAATTCTTCTAGTAAGTAGTCATTATTTTATGTAGATTAAAATTTGAAGAAATCATTTGATAAAGCAACAAACTTCCTAGAATTTTCAGAAAATAATAAATAAATTAATTGTATAAGTAATATAATGATAATAATAATAATATTCTTATTAGCACTTTAAGAAAAATAAAAAATTAATAACTAATAAAATGTGACTTGTGACTTTTAATAGTTGTTGAGTTCTTCTTAGGTATGTTTAATTTCATCTTCTTTATAAAATGTGACATGTTAGTTTCTATGTGCTTTTATTTGAAATCATTTTTTAGTTTTCTAACAAAATAAATAGTTTTAATATATTCGACAAATTAAACACTTAGATACACGAGTATCTGTCAAATACATGCGTATATTTCCAATAATGCATTTATTCAGTAGATACATACACAAGATACACATATAAAACTAGATACATAAAATTGTATCTCGGTAATGCATCAAATACAACAATAATGTGTCAAATACATACGTAAAATAATGTGTCAAATGCATACGTAATACATAAAATAATGTGTCAAATACATACGTAAATCTCCACTTATTGAAATATTTTTGTTACGGTCTTGGGTGGTTAGGGCATCTCACCATGACAGTGTTTGCTTCACCTTTTGATTCATTGTTGCTTCTCACTTCGCCTAAATTCAATGAGATATATAAGTGATACGAAGTTTCTTGGTTGATTCATATTACACAAAGTATGCAATCGATACTATCGAAAATGTCAATTTTGATAAAGTTATTGGGCTTGAAATTTGTGCTTACGATGATACCCATTGTCTTTGCAAGCGAGAGGTGTCTCCCCTTGCGAGAAAAAAAAGATGGGTTCATGGGATGGGGGATTGGTTTGAGAGTGAGAAAATCAAAGGCTAAGAATTTTGATGTGTGTCGACAAGCAATAGAACATCCATTTTAATAGAGTGATTATTAGCGGTAAATTTCGACTGATTAAAGAAAGAGGGAGAGTTGAAGTTTGACCCTAACTCATACTCCTTGAGAAAAATATATTTGTTCTTTATTACGACATTAGTTTTGAAATTTAAATGTAAAAATAATTAATCAGTCATCGTTTTGAAAACCACATAAAAAGTATTGTCAATGTCAATAATTAACAACATTTGATTAACT